CTGAAGCTTAGATGATGTTTAGAATAACAGCGCAACTGTGAAATTCATATAAATCGCAAATGTTTGCATTTAGGCTGCCATTGATACATCTTCCAAGATACTTTAAAAAATGAAGTACGTATGCCCTTTCGAGTTAGCTGGCAATTGTTATCTTCATCTGGACATCTCAAATTAGGTTGTAAATGGTTTTTAAGCTAACTTTTCTAGTTTTTGAACCTTTTGAATTTCATCTAGATACTTCGAATTAAGATGCAACTCTGATCTTTAGCCAGATATTCCGAAAAAGGGTATATATGTAACATTTCCTAAATACTTCGAATTAGGATGTTATTTGCTCAGGCTAGGATCGTGATTTTTACTAATTACTGCGATTTAGGGTAAACTTTGAAGTAGGGTTTTGTAGATAGTTCCTAGAATTTACGAACCAGGTTGCAGCTATGATTTTTGTCTAGACATCTCAAATTAGCGTGCAAATTTGACTATTAGCTATTTTTTCAAATTTTTATGCACTATTTTTAACTAGATTCTATGAATTAGGATGCAAATCTAACCACTATTCAAAAATTCCGATAAAAACAAGTAAACTTGTGACACTTCCTAGATACTTCAGAATAGGATGGAAAAATAACTTTAGGATCGGTGATACTAACACTTTTGCCAAACACAGACTTTGACTGAGACTTTTTACCTAGAGATTTGCATGCAGTATTGTAAAGCTAATGGGGAGCGCGTATTATGAAGATCGTTTAGTCAATAAGATGAGTAGTAACGTAAGCAAACAGTCAAGTCCAAAATAAGTTTGAATCTTCAAAGATATAGTCCCTCTTATGGCAGAAAACTCATGTGAAGTAAAACCGGCGGACCCCCCCCCCCCCCCCAATGGGAACTACTATGGCTAGGTTTATGAAACTCATAGGACGGATACTAGAGATTATTTGACCCGGGCATGCAAAAATCCATAAGCCTCGGACCCCCCGGCCCCAAGAGATAACGGTTCCCGGAAGTGAAAATGGCCCTATCAGAACACGGTAACTAGCGGTTGGAATGGAACCAATATATAGTTTGTTATAGAACTAATTGAGGGAAGCTTAAGTTTAGAAACCCAGACCCGTCAGACCCCCACTTCCGGTTTTATGCCCCTATGCAAATAGACCCCATCCCGACTTCCGGGAGTCGTTTCTCGGACCCCACTGAACGCAGGAAGCTAAAACTTTGGGATAGTTTAGGTATTATAGTACTTCTTGTGTTATAATTTGAACCAAATCCAGCGGCTGATCCGGAAGTTATTAGCACTTTGGAAAACCATCCGTTAAATCGGAAGTAGGCAATTTACGCAAAATAATGAGCGAGGGCATATTGATTTTATGGCGGCATCAGATACTACAACTCATCCCCAAAAAATGTAACTCAACCCCTTGTAAGTAAAACCCCTGCGGCGACTCCTTCCGGTGTTAATAGTCTTTCCCCGGGAGAAGTGATTATGGACCTTAGAAATGGGATAACTTGGGAAGTAATAACGGGATATGGATGAAACTTGGTAGGTAGGACCCCTATGGGATTTTGAACCCGAATATGGAAGATTTACCCCAGGTGAACCCGGGGTGACCTTAAATTGACCTTTAGGCGTTTAGGACCAAATTTGTATGAAAAACCTCGGGATTAACACCGGAAAGAGGCGTATTCATTCAACCCCAACCCTTGGGAATGAGAATTGGTCACCTTCCTAATATTTGGGAGGGAACTTACCTATTGGGGAATAGTTGAGATGCCAAAAAAGATATAGCTTAGACATTTTATAATTGAATTAGTGAAATCAATTGAAGTGAACTTGGCAAACATCGGGTTCAATCTAGCTTGGCGAATGCGCTATTGATAGAATAGCAATTAGGGTAAAAGAAAGGTAGTCCCAGAGGGAATTGACGGTAACTGAGGTATCACATGGAAAGTATGACTCCTAAATAACATGAATGAATGAGATATTTACTTAGCTCCCCGGAGGTGGCTTTTTGGCTCAATTCGACCCCTTATAAGCGAATTACGTTCCCCTGAGAGCAAGAAGGGATGGATTAGAATAGAGTATAGATAGGAATTTTAGATGATTAGAATAAGTTAGCGACCCAGGAAAAGGGTCCTCCTCTACCCCTGGGAGATTGGAACGTTAATGGGATAAAAAAATAAAAGCCTTGGGTAGATTGGTTAATTAAACATAACTCGGTTTGGAAGTGAAATTAGACTTGATATTTGCACAACTTAGTCACAGATGCCTGAAATGAACTTAGAACTTAAGACTAGTGTCATGAGGGGAAGAATTCAGTCAAGACCTTGCGAAATGGGTACTAAAGTAATTGTCAGGACTTGTAGGGACGACATAACTCTATCTATAACTAAAACTGAAACAGACAAATATTATAGAGAACAGCAAGTAGCCTACCTTTAGGCAGACCATAGTGAATTACTAGAGAGAGTAAATGGTTCTCGGTTAGAGTGAGAACGATTGAGCAAGCCGAGAAAAATAGTTGGTCCGTGGAGGACGCTATTACTTGAAGCGAGGCTAGTTGTGTCTCATAGTTAGTTAATTAGTCTGGCTGATTAGGACCCGAGTTTAGTACCGGGTGGAAGTATTTGTGTGAACGAGTTGCGCTCGAGAGTTGTTTATCGTTGGCGATTCTGGCATTGGGTCAAGCGAGAACCGACGGGCTAGTTAGCGAAGCGATTGAGAAAAAAAAACGAGGTGCGGGCTTTTTATAGAAGTTGTTAATAGTAGCTAGCTCATTAAGGG